TTCTGATACTGTCCTGTCCCTCACTGATTTTCTTGGCCCGGACTCACCATTATCTTTATATCCATGGACTCTGCCTGTTTCAAACCCCAGCCGAGTGCAATCCCACCTCTTCCAAGACCTTTTGCCTGAGTCCTGTAGTTGGCAGCACTTTCACCCTCGCTTGCACTGAAATGGCCGTAGTTCTATCTGGAATGTATGTCCCCTGTCATCTTTAGCATTGCGCTTCTGTAAACCATCACATAGTAAACTGGTTGGCATTAGAATATGGGTCATAATTAATCTGTTTATTCCTTTCCGAACTTTGTGTCAGGTCACAAATAAGAAATTAATGAATTGGTTGATCAGTCATTTCTTGGCACTAGGTATATTGAATTTGGGGGTTCTCCAGATAGTCTATGGGGGATATAGCCTAATTCTAGAGAATTACTGAAGATGTGAGAGCTAAGAAGAACACTTTCTGTTATCATTGAGTCGGTAATGACCTTGACTGTTGGTGGTGTGTCTGGAGTGCCTGGGGGGGCGTGTCTGAGGGGCTCAAGCCCAGTGTTTCTAAGACCTGGCCCAGGTATGGGTCCCCTTGTTGCTGTCTTAAAGGGATAAGGGCCCATAAGACAGTTTCTCATTTGCCCAGACAGATCGTCAAGGGCTAGTGCAGAATCTTACAAGTGCATTCTATAGAGCCATTCACGGCAATGTTTTCCTAACATTTCTGAGTATTAGCATGTGTTTTGCACACTAGCAGTTTGGGGCACACTATGTGAATTATTGAAGAAATATGGAAATCATTATCATTTAAATAAGATAGCCCATCGATAGAAACTACAAATTTAGAAACATTAAAGTCATTTAATTTGTTACAAATAAATATTATTTAACCTACTAGACATAATAAGTACATAATTTTTAAAATTTTTTTAAAAATCAGCCTGAATGTTTTGTTTGCAAAGATAACCTCTCTTAGCCATCAGACTAATAGATGGCATTGTATTAGCTCTGATTTTGGGTGTTGAATTGTTTTGCTCTCTGAATTTCCTGCCAACCTCATCTATTCTTTGCTGGTGCTGGGAAGACGGTGAAGCTCACCGAGTCCCTGCGAAAGGCTACAGAGAAAGCCAAGCTGAGGTTTCTTTCCCCCCAGCTCCCTTCACTTCTCAGCAACCTGTCGCCCAGGAGTTACTTGTGCTGGTGCCTCTCCCTCCCAGGCAGGTGATTCTTCCCCTCCTCTCAGTCCACACGCTTCCTGGTCGTGTGTGACCTCGCTCACTCCCAGGAGGAGCTGTTCTGTGCTCTCCCTGGAGAAGGCTCTGTTGCCCACAATGAGGAAACGACGTAATGGCCACTTTGCTCAGTACTCGCAATTCGTTTTAATGTGATTACCGATATGGAAGTTTAATAAGCAGTATCCTGGTTAATTTATTAATGCCCCTCAATGTTCACATTTTCCATATTCATGACCCTTCTGTTCATAAAGGTACACCTTTTGCTTTTACCTCCCCCGTGCCCAGGTGCCATGCCGCACTCTCTGTATCTCAGGCTGCATAATGGCCATGTCCAAGTGACACCTTCCGCTGGGCCGGCTGGTAATTAAAATGCCAGAGAATCGAGTGACGAGGGCCTTGGAAATATTTATGTGTGGTCAATTATTAATTTATGTTCTCTTCAAGATGGCTCCCATGTGACCAACATTTACTTATCGTGATAATTAAGATGGGGCAATGTGTGGTGCATCCGTTATGCCATACATTTTCTTCTAATTTTCCTCCCAATAATGATTTTCAGCTACCCAAATAAGCAAGCTCCTTTTGCATTTATGAGCCTACAGAATTTGGACTCTGTTTTTTTTAAAAATCCCATTTTAAATAATTAAAAACTTATAATAACTAAAATGAAAAAGACTCAAGAAAACACCTAAGACTCTTCCAAGGCCCACCCACTAGCCACTTGTTACTGAAAATGTCTGGGTGAAAAGAATCTGCTTGGGGACCCTGGCTACCCAGATGAGACCTTAAGTAAATAGTTTAGGACAGTCTTCGCATTCTCTGGAGCCATGCATGGAGGCACGCTGGCCACCTTGTTGGCTTCAGTTAGGCAAGTAAAAGAGCGCCTGCATTGTGTGGCACCAGCCCTGGGGTCTCAGGCACCAGAAATGATGCTGATGAACAGGCATTTGCAGGAATGCATGGGTCTGTTTTTTCTTAAAGATGGATTTACTTCCATGTGAAAGTTGTCCAATATGTGAAAGAAGCAGAGGAAAGAACTCCACAGATTCAATGTGAGAAAGAAAAGAAACCAAGAGAGCAAACAAACAAAGATCACTCTATGCTTCAGAGTGTGTGTGGGGTTTTTAATTGATGAAAAATGAGCAATTTTTAACCTATTAGAACACCAGTTTTTGTTACTTCACTATTATCTGTGCAAATTCTGAGCTATACTATACTCTACCGCATTCAGATACAGTATATAAATCTATATTGTGACATATTTATGCATTTTAGTTCTCTATTATATTTTTGAAACTTTATTTGTTATTTTTTTTGTATCACTTTATATTATTATTATTTTTTAAGCAATTTCTTAGTGATGCCTTCCTCAGTACTTCAACTGTCCTTCCATTCTTTTGTTTTTCTCTTTCATGGATGCCATGTTCTTTGGAAGCTTGTTTAGGCCAAGTTCATGGCCTTTTAGGCTTCCTCCACATGAATAGGAGTTCACCTTATTGAATAATAAGAATTATATGCCATGGGGCAGGGAAACACCAGGGTTTTAGAGATGCTTAGGTGGGGCACGGCCAAAAAGAGGTGGGGAACCATTGGTATAGACCCAGAAATTCCTCCTCCGATTTGGTAGTCTGAAATATATTAAAACTTAAAATCACTTATGAGAGAAGAGGAGGAGGAGGAGTAGAGAAGAAACAGGAGGAGAAGGAGAAAGAGACCGGCTTATCCTGTATGAATGCTCAGGAAAGGTCAATCTTGGTGTCTTATTGGTATCGAAGATTAGTATTGATTTTAAATCACTTCCTTCTTGGAGATATTTTGTCTCAGAAATAAATTTATTATTAATATTTTAGGTTGCTTAGCACAAGTGGACATAGAATAATTCAAGGCACAACTGACTTAGCTTTATAAAGAGAATCAGTACTTAGATTGTGTAACATTTTCTGGAAGACAAATGTGTCATTTGTTGCTTCTAAAAGCATGACAAGAAGTCTGGGTTTTCTTAGAACCATGTTCCCAGAAGGGTGTTTTCCATACCCATCCTACCTTGTTCTTGGTCACACATGCCCACAGACACACACTCGATAGCATTTCTTCTAGCTTCATGGCATGTCGTAAATGTCGTAAAGACATTTCCAATCAAAGTAACATGACACGCAAGTTGCAGAACTATGTGATGGCATGCATACTGCTTGTAGGTTCCTCATAGTGAAATTGCCTTACCTGGTCTCCTGAATGGTAATTACTCTCTCGGAAAACTGATAATAGTGGGATGCCCATTCCTGGAGGTGACATTTGCATCCCTGTTTTACAAGGCATTACTTTATTTGCAAAGATCATCTAACTTACCTTAAAGATTTCTGGCCAACCAGGAGTTGGCATATTCCTCTCGCATCATTTATAGTTAAGCCACACGGTGCAGATCTGACCATGTTGGCCTTGTATGAATACTCTACTCAGTGGAAATGGCCTTGGCATCTGCGTCTCATGACTTGGGGTGCCCATCTGGTCTGAGATACAGAGGTTAGACCCTCCGCCCTTCCTGGGGGCTGATCGTAGGCCCTGACCTCACAGTGTCCTGAGAGCGGATGTAGCTGGGGTATAAAGAGAGGCCTCTGTGTGGTAATCTAAGGAGGGTGCAGAAAGGAAGTGGCTCTGATTGTGCCCATGGTCCTGCAGTGTCCCAGCCTGGTCCCCGCCCTTTTATGACATCCATGCTGCTTGTCTCCACTCTTGTCAACCTTTTCCGTGTGTGTGTGTGTGTGTGTGTGTGTGTGTGTGTGTGTGTGAATTCTGTCACCAGAGCACATAAAGAACCGATTTTCTTTAAAGCTGTCACACAATCAGAAAGTGTCTGAGTCTACCACGGCGATCAGAGAGGAAGAGAGAGGGATAGAGAGTTAGAAACATCAATGAGAGAGAGTCATCTATCAGCTGCCTCCTGTACACCTCCTACTGGGGTTGGGCCCGCAACCAAGGTACATGCATTTGACCGGAATCGAACCCGGGACCTTTCAGTCCACAGACCAATGCTCTATCCACTGAGCCAAACCGGTTTTGGCGAACTTCATCCTTTTGATGATGGGCTCAGAGCTCCCCCGGGAGGGTATCTCATAGAAATGTGTGGGTGCTCTCCAGTACATGCGGAAGGACACCTATGATGTGTGCGGATTGAGAAGCTGGGGTTAACACAAGTTACAGCCATTTGCTTTGTGTCTTTTTTTTCTTTTTCTTTTTCTTTTTTTCCTGGAAGAAACATCTATATTGAAAGCAGTGGCCGGTCACATAGAAATTCAGCCAAACTTTTTTTTTTTTTTAAGCCGATGTAAATCTCCCATGCTGTTTAAATGTCGGAACTAAATTTACCAAACTTGGCAGATTTGTAAAGCAGAGCAGGACTGCCAAGCGTTCCCAATTTCAAGCAGAGCGTTCTAACACTTCCTGCCATCCTTGTAGGAGGCACCTGCTGGTAACTGCCACTTCGCAATCCCTTCCCCGGCGCCTACCTGGCGAGCTGGCATCTCTGCCCCCCAACGGAGGTGACAGTGATGATAAGGTGTCAGGACGGGAGGGTCCAAAATAAGCCACAGCGCCCCGGAGACAGGCACCTTCCATCCAGACCTTCCTGCTGGAGAAGCCTTGGGATTAGACTGCAGCTCTGGACATCACAGCCAACTGGTTTCCCCACACAGCTAAGGGGGTGGGTATGGGAGACAGAAACACCCCCCACCACCACCACCACCACCCCAAGATATGACTGGGCCTGTTTTCCCATCCAATCAGGGCCTGCTGTCCGAGATCCTCCGGAAGGAGGAAGACCCACGGACGGCCTCGCAGTCCCTCCTGGTGAACCTGCGGGCCATGCAGAACTTCCTCAACCTCCCCGAGGTGGAGCGGGACCGCATCTACCAGGACGAGCGGGAGCGGAGCATGAACCCCAACGTGAGCATGGTGTCCTCAGCCTCCAGCAGCCCCAGCTCCTCCCGGACCCCTCAGGTGAGATGCGTGTCCCGTGGACGTTTCTCTCTGCCCTGGAAACACCTGGCTGGTGCTGAGAGTTCCCGCTGGAAACATGTAATTCAGGGATGCTGAGTCCACTGAGTGAGTTGGTGGGAGGATAGGGAACCTGCCCTATGAAGTGGCCTTCCTTTGCTATGTCCTATGCCAGTGCTGTCCCTTTAGGAACAGGAGAACCATCCTTCCTCCGCGGCAGGAGAGCAGGGGTGGTGTTGGCGGACCGGGGGCGGGGGATGGGGGGGGAATAGGGCCAGGCTGTGTCCACCTACAGCTGCTTCGTCATCCAGGGGTTTGTGTGAAGCTGAGTGTGCGTGGTCGGTGCCCTGCTTTTCCTTATGTCGTGTGTATTCCATGGGGTGAGGTAGCTGGGGGCAGGGGGTGCCCGCGGATGCAGCTCTACTTCCTGGGATCTGAGAAAGGCAGAATGGGGAGGGACCTGGCGTGATGGGAGCACTCATATGCAGGGCTCCCTCCCCATGGCTGGGTCACTCACTGAGCCCTTAGGACATGGTCATGGAGAGGCAGGCCTTCATTATTCTGCTTCCCAGGCGACCCCCAGGACTCCCGGGCTCCGCTTCCCACCCTCCTCGCTCCTCACAGTAACCTATTCTGTTCTCAGTGCCTCTGGCAGATGCGGGCAGCTAGTCACTGCAGGCTGCCAAGATCCACACTGAAGGGTCAAGTCAGTCACGAGTCATTTCCCATTCCGATCTGAGCCCCCTCCTTTCCAGCCTACGACCTGTGTTCCTTACCCTTTAGCACTCTCTAGGTTTGTGACACAACCATCTCCTGCCACTGCTGCCAGGAGGGGTGCAAATTCCCTCTCTTCTTCTTGAGATAGTCAACAGACACACATTGTACAAATCAGAAAAATGGGTGCTTTGAAATCAAAAGGTTTTTAGCTTAGTTACTATAATGTGTGTGTGTGTGTGTGTGTGTGTGGTGTGTGTGTGTGTGTATTTAATGCTTTTGTTTTCTGGTAAGTTCCAAAGAACAGATTAAGCATACCAGCAAAATTGCATTCTAGTAGAAATATTTGAGCTTTTTTATATTCATCAGTTTCCTTTCATATTTTCTAACTTTCATAAGTTTGCACTCCGCAATAGATATTTAACTGAAGGTCATTTTCTATCCATGAACTGTCAAACTGCGGTGCTTACACTTTAGTCTTTAGCAAAGGATGAGCTGTAATGACTGTTCAACCAAAAATAAGTCTCTCTTTTTTAAAATTTCTTTCTTGATTAAGGTATTACATATTTGTCCTCATCCCCCCTTAACTGTTTACTTTGGATGAGTGTAACCAAGCTTTTATAATATAAGATTAATATAAGATTCCCCCCCCCCCCCATTTTGGGACAAACATATTAGGCTGTTGAGTTGGGTGAGTTGTTAATTTACATTAATATTTACTTGTATTAAATCTGCCAATACTAGTATTTTTGCTGCTTCTGAAGTCCGTTCAAGCATGATGGGTCAGTCCAGCCATGCTTCCTGGCTTTGCACCTGGACACCTCTCCTCAGAAAGTTAGGAAATCTCGCAGGGCTGTGTGCTCCTTCGGAATGTTTTTCCGGCACCACGATCTCAGGCCTGTTCTCACAGACAGAGAGCTTTCAGAGCCAGACCAGCGTACAAGGCCGCACGGAGCCAGTGTTTCGCTATTTTCAGTAGCACAGGACCCCACCTAGAAACCAGGAAGGGGGCCCTTCGGGACCAGTATAACAGGGAAAAGAATCATTTAATGTCACAGTTTTGCGATTAAGGAAAATAAATGTAAAATGTTTTTCTCGGAATATTTTTGAGACGATAGCTATGGCACCAGTATTTCACATTCTTGTTTTCCTGTTGGTTAGATGTTGAGAAAGGGGAAGCTGTTACTACATTTTGTGACTACCTTCTCACTCAGAATTCTTACTGGCGTGCCTCCGCAGTGAAGGTCCGAGCGGAGAGAAGCTTCCACACGAGAACCCGTGTGAGGGGGTTACCCCGGAGGCCGCCTTGCAATGGGGGTCAGCCTGACAGACCTCATGGAGATTCTTATTTTCCAAACCCCAACTGGTTTAAAATAAATTGGAGAATTTTACATTTATTTATTTTATTATTATTTTCTTAATCCTCAACCAAGGACATATTTGATTTTAGAGAGAGGGATGGAGAGAGAAACATCGACTGGTTGCCTCCCTAAGGGGGATCCAACCCACAGCCTGGGTATGTGCCCTGACTGGGAATTGAACCCATAACCTTTCTGTGGATGGGATGATGCTCTAACCAACTAAGCCCTGGCAAGAGATTTCAAATTTGAAATTAAAACTCCAGAGTCTCATCTCATAAGGCTTCAATTGGCCAGTATCCCTTGATGTGCTTAATAATAACAAAACAACAATACAAGGATACGAGTGATTATTTACCGAACACTTACTGTGTATCAGGTATTGTGAGCATTTTGCACGAATTGGATCTGTACCATTTTGTATCGCTATCCCCATTTTACAGATGAGGAAACTGAGGCCACATGGCCAGTGGCAGAGCTAGGATTTGAACTCCGGTTGCTCTAATTTAAGTCCTGGGCTCCTAACCACATAGTTTCGTGCTTCGGGGGCTTTCGTTTTAGCCCCCAGGGCTTTAGAGAGGATTTGATCAGCCAGGCGAGAGAGTCAGTGAGGCTAATGAGAAACCCGAGTTGAGAAAGGCAGAAATAATGTGCTCAAACATGCGCTCGACAGGAAAAGTGCTAGAAATTTTGAGAAGGAAAAGGAATTTCTTGAAAAAAGTGACAATTGAATTCTTAAAGGAAGATTCCGAATTTGAGGGCCAGCAGATCCCTGTGAAACCAGCATTGGTACGACCGGAGGTTTGGGAGCCTGATTACACTGCAGCCCTGAGCCTGCGCTTTGGTGCCAGGGAGACTTGGAAGATTCAGAACATGGTTGTCTCACTTGCTTTTGCCTGTCTTCCAGGAGGTCAAACATCGTCGTTCATGATCACGTGTCCTCATCTGTAAAATGAAAATAAAGTCTAACTCATTGCAACTTTAGAAGAATTAAATGAGATAACAGAAATAAAGTGCTTTCTTGAGGGCCTGGCACAAAAAAGTACAGCATCAGTTATTCTTATTTTTTTGGTAATAATTAGAAAATTGTATGAGACAGGGAGATCAAAGGGGAATGGCAAAAGTCACCAATTGCTCTTAGGAATCAAAGCCGTCATGGGAACTTGGGACATTCGCTCTGGCTTTGAGGCCATTGAGAAGGATCCCATAGTGTTCAGACTACCTGCCCTGTCTCCCCCTCCCTCCCCCACCGGTAATGCTAGGCCGGTGGGGACAGCTCAGGGCACCCACAGAGGGACAGCGGTGATTTGGGGGCCACTCTCTTGGTTTGGGATTAAGGGTAAGTGGGGACAAAAGGAAAAAGAACCCACTTTAGACCAAATCAGCTGTCTACGCTCATGAACCCAAGGATGAGGGCAGATTCCCATTGCCTGGGCTTCTTTCAGTTATTACACCAGACCAAGTGCCCACAGTCTTTTCGATCAGAAAGCACCAAACGTTTCAGGGCCCCCCCAACCCCAAGAAGCACAGACACCTTCTCTATTGTCCTTCATTTGTCTCCGAAGCTGATGGGAAATCATTCAATTAACACGAGCGCTGCAGAATGCATAAAACCACAATATGAGTTTAAGAAAATGAAAACGCCGCATCAAAGGCATTCCGAAGCCTCGTTTCACGAAATGAAATTTTGTTTCATTCCCGCTGATTTCCTAGGTGAAATTAGGTGACGGGCGGGCCAGCATAATGATGCTAACGATGGGAAACCGCGCATACTCGGATGACACGCGCGGAGCTTTAATAAAGAATGAGAGCGACTCCGGGGAGTGCTTTCAATCGAGTAATAATTTATTATTTAGAGACCGCTACGCATTTACTCATTTTATTTATTTATTTTTTCTGGAAGAATTGGCCCTTCCTCCGAGGAGGCATGCCATTTTTAGCAAGCAAGGGGTGACTGCATGCGTGGCCAGCAGCTAAGTGATGGCTTTTCTATCCCCGGCGCATCCTCCCTGGGAGCAGCCCAGGGTTGCGTGGGGGCAGGAGCAGGCTGTGCAGGCTCTGCCCGTCCTATAGGAATGCGCCGCCATTATTTCCAACCACAATTAACCCGATTAGAATAACGGACAGGAAGTGTCCCTCTGTAGCTGATGCCGTTTGGCAGCCGCTGACGGAAACCCTCGGGTGGTTTCCGCACAGATGGCCGGGCTGCACACGGCGCTTTCTCAGTGATTGTTTTCCCGGTCTCTCGGCAGGCCAAAACCTCGACCCCGGCAGCAGACCTCCCCATCAAGGTGGACGGCGCCAACGTCAACATCACAGCTGCCATTTACGACGAGATCCAGCAGGAGATGAAAAGGGCCAAGGTGTCCCAGGCCCTGTTCGCCAAGGTGGCTGCCAATAAAAGTCAGGTGAGCGCTGGTTCACGGAGCTGAGGCTGGCGCGGGGTCCGAGCGCTCCTCCTCCCTCCCATAAACACACAGCTGCTCCCCCGTCCCAGCCGCGGGAGTCCCTGGGGGCCCGGCATGCTCTGAGTTTGGCGCCACGGTTTGCTTCGGTTCCCAGTGGAGTTGGAAATAGAGACTAAGTCAAAACCCAGACTTCTGCAGGTGAAAGGATCATTTCAAAAGGAATCAGCCTTGAGTGATTTCTCTTCTGATTCTAAACACTGCTGTGGATTCTTTCTTTCTTCTGTTCTTTCTTTCTGTCTCTCTGTCTCTTTGTCTGTTTCTCTCTCTCTAATATATATATATATATATATATATATATATATATATATATATGCACATGCACATATATATACATACACACACACACACACACACACACACACACACACATATATGCCAGACTTGATACCTACAGAACAGCATCTTGCTGAGTCCACGTTGTAGCCACGTCTCCGCGACTCACTCCCGGCAGGGGCATGGCTGACTGTGTAATAACTGCTTTCCAAGCCCTGCAGACACCTTGGGAGTCAGGTGTTTCTTTTATGTGTGTGGAATCTGGTGGTTTCTCCAGGGGAAAACACACGTGAGGGCCAGGGCGCGTGCTGAGAGCTCTAACACACACACCACACACACACACACACACACACACACACACACACACACGCAGCCTCTCCAGTGCAGATCTGCGCAGAGCGGGGGCGGGGGGTGGGGTGGGATGCTCCGGGGACCGGGGGAGACAGATTCGGAGGGTTCTGCAGGTTTATTTCTGAGAGCAGCACCCGGGGATGGGATCCGCTGTCTGTTTCAATTCCCCAGGGAGAACCGCCTCCCTGTCTGAGAACGGGTCTGGTGGTGCCTGCTTACTTATCCCGAGGTGAGCAGTTACCTAATGCACAGCGGAGGGGGCGAAGATGGTTGCGGCATCACACTGGGAGCCCTTGGGTCCTGAGCCTGACTTTCTCCATGACCTTCCATGACTAATATTTCCATCCTGCGATGGGAGGGGAAAGATCCATTGTCTCCCCAACAGGTCTTCCGTGCCTGCTGTGAAGAAAGGAAGTTACTGAATATGGTGTTTCTATCAAGCAAGAAGGTGTTCACTAAAAACCAACTTTCAAAAAAACGATTTATATATATAGTTAGGTGCTATATTTAGGCTAATTATGGGGCTTAGCCATTTTTACCTGTCGCTTGGCAGTTACCTGACTTAAGTTACTTTTCAGATGTTGATAAAGGGAAAGGAGTAGATGACCAAGGGTCCTGATCGAAATATTTGTTTCCCTTTCCAACGTTAATGTGGTCATGTCTCCCGATTATCCTTATTATCGCTCATCAGCGAAACCGCTGAAAGGCCGTTTGCTGAGATCTGACGTCCAACCGTAGAAGGAAATGCATGAAAAGAAAGTGCTGGGGAGCCTTCCTGAGCTGTTAGGTGCATAAAATCCCATGGACCACATGGCACAATATAATGAGAGCTGGAGCTGTTAAACGAATAAAGCTGTTAAATGCATAATGCCACTTGGCAAAACTACTGTGCATTTAATGGTTTTCCACTGTGTAATAAAGGACATATGTGGTAGATGTGCAGCGGGTAGAAAAGCTACACAATGGATTTTGCAAACCTGCCCCTTAAGTCGTGACTTGACGTAAATATAAAAGTTTCACTCCGTCCTTTTTTTAAAAATTTATTTATTTATTTATTTATTTATTTATTTATTTATTTTTTATAAGAAGCTTTCAAGAAAGAACGGAGACCACAGTATGAGAACTTGATTCAAAATGCCTGTGATCTTCCCGCTGGCTTGGCACCACGGCTTCTGGAAAGAGCGATGCCCTCAGCCTCCAGAAATAACTCAGGTGGCTGACAGGGAGCCACGGGTGCCAGGGGCCCACACTTAGCGCTACCAATCCATGGTGCCGCCCCGAGAACGCGGGAGCCCCGCTCCTGTAGGGTCTGGAGGGACATAGAGTGCCGGGGACCAATATGCAGAAGGATGGGACTGAGCTTAGGTGGGGATGCCGCGCTGAGAAGTCTTTCTGATTTTCTTTGGGACCGTGGCCTCGTTCGCCTTTGTGAACGGGAGCCTCGCTGGACATCGCTGACGAGATGGGCAAATCCAATGCTGAGGTCTTTTAACAGACGGCATTCACTCCATTTTGTGAGCACCCGCTTTGGCTTCATGAAAAAGCATCTTTAGTGAAGTCAATTGCATGATTTGGTACTTTGCACGTGTATTTGCTGCCTACCCATAGGGTGCATGCATGCACATGACTAGCAGTGGGACTTAGGCCGAGGTACTTAACCGCTTCAGGCTGCAGTGTGAAGTGGCCATACTCTCTTCCTTGCGTGGCATGACTGAGAGAGCAAAGGTTTCCCTCCTTACCTGCTTTTTTGTCCTCCCTTCAGTATGTTTCCTTGGAGGGGCAGGAGGCCTCGGAGGGCCTGAGAAGGCTGATGGGTACCAAGGCTTCTTCATTCTCTCTTGGATGTGAAATCTGGGAACCTTTCTTTAGGAACTTGGTAAAAGGGAGTGAGCATGGAACCTGGGAGGGCCCAGTTCAAATAGACACCATGGCCCCTCCCCTTCCATATTAACTATCTTTTAAAATAGAAATGAACCCTCCGTTAAACCTCATTCACTCCTCGGTGTCCATTGCTGTCCTCCGCTGTTAAGAATATAACCTAACACTGTGTGTGAGGCAAGCTTTGAGTGAGAAATAGGAAAAAGGAAGGAACGTTTCAGAGAGATTGCAGGTTCTGGGCCCAGATGGTCCCTGAGGGCTTCTGTGTTGAGGGACACAATGGGAAGGGGGATTCAGAAAAGGGGCTGAAACAGTGACAAGCTTTAGACGGTCCTGTTGGTGGCATATATTCCTGGGAAGTGTGTGTGTTACCTCAGTGTGTGAGTTACGTCAGGATGCATTTGTATACAGGTCTCAGTGGCAGGTCCTTTAAAAATAAGGCAAAAAAAAAGAATCAAGGAAAATCAGATAACTTTACATAAAGAAAAATACTGGATATATTATTTGGTTTGTTTTCCTTTTATTGCTCTTTGCTATTGGAGTTTATGACACATTCAGTATATGTGCTAACATTCTTTTCACTCAGTGCTGGGTTAGCATATTAATCTTTGCTTTTGTATCTCTTTTAAAAAATGTCCCAGGCACATTTTAGTTGCATATATCTTTAAAAAATAAACACACCTCCATTATATGTTAAAGTAATAATATCCTCACTTTAAAAAATGAAGAAATGTATAAATGAGGAACTGTGAGTCCCTCATGACTCCACTATCCAAAGATAGTTACCGTTAACAATGTAGAGTCTTCCCTTCTAATGTACATATATCCATGGGTGTGCACAGGGATGTTTACATCCTACTTGCGATCATACTGTACAACATATAATTATAAGACAATTCAAAAGTACAATTTTTAAAGCCAACTCTTTAGTTGGGGCATAAGAATATTATCTTTAGTCTCATTAGTTTCTTATCCTTTAGAAAATATATACAAGGATCAAAGAGTTTGATCAAAGGATCAAATTGTGCCTCTTTGCACAATTTATCTTATATTATGAATTTTCCTTTTGGGAAATGGCTTTATTGGGGCTGAGTTAGCTCCGGCTAATGGGAGTAGATCTTTACCCCATCTTTTTGGTATAAACTATGACAGGAAGTACTGACCATCTGATGCCCCGTGTAAAATGAGTTGGTCTTAGTCTGACTCCCGATGATTTTGCTTTTGCCATCTTGGATTCAGCAAGGAAGGCAGACTGAAATGAGGCAGGCAGCCTGACCTGAGCAGCTGCCCCCTGTTGCTGGGCAGGTTTCTTTGGAACACAATGATTTTATAGCCTACCAAGGAGGACTTTCTATTCTTGTCAACTGGGGTATGGATACCATAATTTCAGGGCCGTCCACCAACCCCCAATAAAGAACTAACCTGTTTACACTCTAAGTACCATTTGAAAAAATTATGATGCAACACCGTGAGGAAATTAGACTTCTCAACATTCTAAGCAGGCAGTCAACACTATCAACACTAGGATGTTTCTTTTTTTTAAAAATATATTTTATTGATTTTTTTACAGAGAGGAAGGGAGAGGGATAGAGAGCTAGAAAATCAATGAGAGAGAAACATTGATCAGCTGCCTCTTGCACACCCCCTACTGGGGATGTGCCTGCAACCAAGGTACATGCCTTTGACTGGAATCGAACCTGGGACCTTTCAGTCCGCACACCGACGCTCTATTCACTGAGCCAAACCGGTTTCGGCAACACTAGGATGTTTCATTGTCAGGTTGAAACCCGTCTTCCATTCTCTGCCTTTTCTTTCAGTGTAATCTTAGAAGATTAGATGCTAGTGAGATTTTATCAGCAGACATTCCCTCAAGATCTGTATCCACCTAATAGCGAGGAGCTAGGATCTTTTTACTGTGCCCACCATTAGTTATGTTAAGGTTTCATGCCCTAAAACCAGCTTTTATGGGATTCCTTAATTAGCCATCAACAGAGATTAATCACAGAGTTCATATGCAGATCTTAAAATGTCAAATGCATTTACCCACTGCTAACATTTACATGCTGGTTTTAAACCAACTTTACTGCAGGAAACTTGAGTTGGATGATTTTGCCCGCTTATGACATGGTCTTTGGAAACCTGCATGCAACTTCGAGACAAGTCAGGTTGGCATATGAAAGCCATGTCTCCAAACACTCCCAGCCCTCTTTTAAAGAGGACAGTGAGTTAAAGCAGGGTTCTTACGGTTGGAGAATGTTGGTGCCTATAAGTGATTCCTACCCCTTGCCTGTAGGCACTGTTGATCTTCTCCCTTTCATGGAGAAGATGAGCAGTGTCTACAAGACTAGAGTGAGGCAAACTAGGTCCCAGAAGGTACAATCTAAGGAGGCCTGCATGTTCAGAGCCACATCCCTCACATTTTGTGCACTGGCACTTGC